TAAAAAAATGGGTAAAAAAAAAAAAAAAAAAAAAAAAAAAAACCCAAACTTAACATTCATTTAAAATTGTAAATTTTATGGAATGTGAATTATATATCAACCAAATGTTAAAAATTAAAAGACCCCAGAAAATATATGCACAAATACACTAGTCACACACTATGACCGAGGACTGCCAAGCTAGATTTGTTTTTAAAGCAAAAAGCCTTGTAGTGCTCATGTTATGTTCCTTGAAAGTTTTTTAGAGTAAAATGATTAGAGAGGCAACTCATATATTAGAAAAGTTAGAATAAAATAATAGGAAACAAAAACTGTCTATAGGTACACCTCCCCAAAATCAAGAATCCAAAGCAGTATACGTTTCTACAAACAGATGTTGAGTTGCTCTTACCATTCCAATAGGCAAAGTTGGTCCCACCTATAAACATGTACCTACAAGGAAACGAGAGAACACAGCACTTATTGGTGAGCCTGCAGCTATGGAGGACACCCTCCCTCCAGGCACGGTGTACTTACATGTTCACGTTTGCCCCGCGGGCGAGCATATCAGAGAGGGAGGAAACCACAGCCTCAGTCTTGACTGTACTGTGATATTCTCCCCAGTGATCTAACCAGCCAGTATAGAATTCAGAATTGATCTAAAAAGAAAGAAGAAGGTGGCACTCAGGATAGACCTCCCAATACGGAGGCCTCCCTGAATCCTCCATCACCCACTGAGGGCCAGGTGGAAGCAGTTGGACATGGACTGCTTTTCCCACAGCTGGAGACCAGGGAAGACTCCAATAATGGCACTGCCCAAACCCAGCCCTCAGGTGCAAACCCTGCATGAGGTCTCGTCTCATACAAGGCCAGCCAGCCCTGGACAGTGGTGAAGTCAACCTGCAGATCAAAATCATGAGGAGAAAATGGCTGAACACATACAGACTTATTTTCTTGTCATCGTTCTTTAGTAAAGTCTTACAACTATTTACACAGCATTTACAGTGTATTGAGCATCATAAGATGAATTAATATGTTCCTGCCAGCTTGAACCACCAGTGGTACATGCAGGATGGTCCTGGTGGGTGTTACAAGCTGCCCGATAGGATAGTCACACAGGGCTCACTGGTGGTTCAAATGGCCTGGCAGCAAGACATATAAAATACAGCCCTGTCATGAGTTAAACTAGCATACAGGAGGATGTGTGTGGGTAATAAGCAAACACTGCAACATTTTATATAAGAGCCTTGAAAGCTGGGTGTAGTGGCGCTCGCCTGAAATCCTAGCACCTGGAGGCTGAGGCAGAAGGATAGCTGTAAGTTTGAGGCCAGTCTGCACTACATAGCAAGACCTTCTCTCAAAAAAAAAGACAGACTTATCAAGACTTGTTATGTAGAGGTACAAGATCCCAACAATGAATGTAACTGTACTGTATCCCTAAAATGTACCAATAAACTCAATTAAAGCTGAAAAAAAAAAAAAGACAGACTTGAGCATCTGTGGATTTTAATCCCCCATGGATATTAGGGACAACTATATTCCTAAAAAGGTTTACTTACATCAAGTTTGTTAACCATTTCCCAGCAGGAAAATTTAGTTGGGCAAAGAACTGGGCAAAATACTTTTATAAAAGAATTATCTCCAAGCCAAGTGTGGTGGCACATGCCTGTAATCTCAGCACTCAGGAGGCTGAGACAGGAGGATCACCATGAGTTTGAGGCCAGCCGGGGCATAGCGAGTTCAAGACAAGCTTGAACTACATATCGAGACCCTGTCTCCAAAAACAAACAAAAATTAGTTCCAAGTTCACCCCTTGTGTGAATACAGACTTTAAGATCACAGGTTGAGTTATAATGAGATAGACTTGGTCCAAGTAGTCTATAAAGCAAACTCCAACAACTTCATGTTTTCCTCTTGATCATTCTTCTGCCAAGTCCGTGTTCTAAAGGAGAAAAATGAAACCTGGACATGTCAGGTTCCAGGAAATAGCTCCACCCAAAGTCTGCAACTACAGGCTCTGCACTGCTCACTAGCAGAGCAGACTCGGGAAAGGCTCCTGGGAGATGGGGCCTGCAGAGTGGAGCCGCTCAACCTGCGCTGAGTGAGCACCATCACCGCCGTGAGGAAGGGAAGAGCAGGGAGCCGGAAGGGCTGATGGCTGCCCACAGCACCTGGACCCTGCCTCTGCCTCCTCCTCCTCCCCCTTTGGAGCGAGCCACCAAGCCCTAGGACTCAACGGGCAGCAGATCCTCAATGCCACCTGACTGATTTTGGAAATGAGACCCTCAGACTCCACCCAGACCCAGCAGATGGCACTTTGCATTTTAACCAGATGTCCCAGTGACTCGTATACATCTGAAAGTTGGAGAACCTTGGCTACACACTGCTCCTAAAAGACACCAAGCTGAGCCAGACTGCAGCCCCACCACTCGATCAGTGCCAGGCCATACGACCCACCCGGGGCAGGGGTGCACGTTCCCCGGCCCCACCAAAGACAGAGACAGCAGGTTCCCTAGTGAGAGCTGCCTCCCCATCCATGTTACTCCACATCCACTGCCACGGAAGCACCAGACCTCCATTCCAAATGGGTGCGTGTCATGCTGCTGTCACTTGTGAGTTCACAAGGGCTATGTCCCCATTATCCTTCAACTGCTGATTCCAGAGCCAGAAAAACAAGAATCTGTATGTTCCACCTCCCCCCACTTTGAGACAGAGTCTTGCTACATAGACTAAGCAGGCGTTGAACTCACGGTGTAGACCAGGCTGGCCCCAAACTCAGTGATCCTCCTGCCTCAGCCTCCCAAGTTGTATATTCCCTTTCTCAGCATGTCACCACCCCGAGTACCCAGAGTTGTTACAAGCCAACAGTCTCCACACCTCACTCCCATCTCTTACCAAGGGTCCTTTAGGCTCAACTTTCCTCTGGATTAGAAAAGCTTCTGTGATGTTTCTGCCTGAAAATTACAGGAGAGAGAAGAAAGGTCAGTCATGGGAACGGTGAGATGGAATGAGCCCCTCACGGGACGTGGGCCTGCCGCTCATGGTCTGAATGTTGGTGTCTCCCCAAAATTTTTAAGTTGGAATCTGATTCCCAGTGTGAGAACAGTAAGTGGTGGGAAGTGACTAAGTCATGAGAACTCCACCAATATGAGCGGGATTTGGCTCAGGGAAATCCGTGCTCCTCTCCACAGGTGGGTGCAGGAAGAAAGCGCATCTCTGAAGCAGGGAACAGGCCCACCCTGGTCTTGGACTTCCCAGCCTCTAGCAGTGTGAGAAATTACTGCTGTCTATAAATCACCCCACTGGTATTCCCTAGTTGTTGGCATTTTAGCACATTAACTTTATCAGTTTCTTTTTCTACACCAAAATATGACTTTTTTTCCCTGAGCCAGGTGAGAATAAGCTGCAGACATGAGGTCCCTGTGCTCCTAAATGCCTCAGTGTGCATCTGTACAGAGCAAGGACATCCTCTAAAAACCACAAGAAGCATTCTAAGACCAGAACATTAACATTCATAAAATACTTTCATCTACAAGCTCTGCTTCAAGATTGTGATTTTCTCAGTAATGACCCCATGGCAAAAACAAAACAGAACAAAGGAAATTTGGGCCTTGGGTCCTACTTAGGATCATGTCCTGCATTCACCGGTCATGCTCTCAAGCTAAATTAAGAGTGACACTTCCTGTGAGCGACACTGCCTGTTCACGGGGAGCTTTCACTGCCGAACCTCTGCGGCAAACGAACCGCGGCACTCCTGAGTCTGGCAAGGCAATTTCGGAAGCAGGTGGCAACCACGTCCAGCCCTCTTGGCTCAGAAGGTTCTGAGTTATGAAGGTGTCAGGTAAGTTTCCTGCTCTGAGGCCTGACAGGCTGTGACACCAGCCAGTGGCTGATTTCATAGCTCACTTAGCCACAACGCATCCCCAAGTATCCTGCCAAGATGTAGGTACCCAAAGAGCAGGGCAGGGCAGACAACAGCAGGGCTGGCCACAGACAGAGGCTCAGGGTGAGCGCCTAACGGGAGAGCTTCTCCCAGCCGGCACCTCCCATCCCCTGGCCCAGCCTTCCTGAGAGAACACATTCCAGAGTCCAGGCAGGCTCTACCAGCGATAAAACGAAGCTCCTCTCGAAGCACTTGTCCGCCAGGCTGAAGTAAGACAATCTTCTGCAGCTGAGGGGTACAGTTAGTCTATTTTACCTGTTATTAATACTACAGCTTGGTTCTTAAATGCTCTCCGGAAGAGCTGGGTGTGGGGGCACACACCTCTGATCCCAGTGCTCAGGAGGCTGAGGCAGGAGCATCACTGCAAGCTTGAGGCCAGCCTGGGCTACATAGTGAGTTCAAGGATAGCCCAAACTGCATAGTGAGACCCTGTCTCAAAACATAAAAAAAAAAAAAAAAAAAAAAAAAAA